TTAAAAAGTGTTTCAGGGAATCCTTTATCTCGGATACATGCAGGTTTCTACGTTGAAACAGCTTGCATCGGCCAACGTTCATTCATCACCAACAGTCATTCCGGACTATCATATATATAACCTCAATTCACGTTTCTAAATTTAATTTATCCAGTTTGTTAATAACAGTGTGTACAACAAATGTTTTGTTTTTCGCAAACGTCATTGCCGGCTGGATGTTGAACTGACACAGGGGTAAGGTTCACATTTTAGCTGATCATGCATGTTTATTTCGCACAAAACTGGTGATTACCTCGGTATTTTATCTTAATTATTCGTCATCGCTGGACGGTGAACCGACACAGGGGTATAAAGGTTTACCGTTCAGCTGATGATATTTATTTCGCTAGAAACTGGTATAATACGGTATTTTATCGCCTCTGGCGACACGTATTCGTCATCGGTTGGATATTGAACTGATACAGGGGTAAAGTTCACATTTCAGCTGATCATGTTTATTTCAGTGTAGTAGTAAACTAAGTAATTGATAGTACTGTTATTATGTAGAGCAGTGCAAGTTCATTGCTTTTGACTGACAATAGCATGTGCAGTGAAACTGACATAGATTGAGGTTTCCGTAACATGTGGTATCAGTATATGCAGATATTTTTCACGATCATCTGCAAACGGTTTGTCATGTTGGGGTGGGGTGTGTCTCCTTTATCCCAAGGAGACTTGTGGCGTTAGTAATACCCCCACCTTTTCTGTGCTAAATGCATGTTATATAGTTATTAATTAATAATTTTTCTTGTTAATTATTAAAAATTGATTAAAACAATAAAGCGGCTATGTGCTAACAACCGGGCACATAAGCCATAATTATGCCATAAAGGCTTTGACTGGTCTTGTAGTATTTGGCAGCACAGAAAACCGAACTCAACCTGACAAACAGTTTGCCGATGGTGGTTTAATATATGCAGGGAAGCGATAAATAGATGTTGATATATTGCCTTAAGTTAACTTTATTTTGCAGTGACCTTTATATTTTAATATTTTTAATGCTAGACTATAGCCCGCGTGCAGGCCCAGGGAAGAATAGTGCGGCCTGCAAGCAAGGCCCGGTATTTTGTACTTTCCGCGTTCGCCCAACGCGGCATTCTGATTGGCTGTTTGCTGTTGGATTCTATAATTAGATCAGTGATTCATCACAAAGGCTCACGATAAGCTTAAAATTCGAAAATTGATCACTTTTATCGATTAAAAATGAAACGGGAACAGACTGTTTATTGTTTACCTGAAGGAAGAGATGTTTTTGCCGTTATGCTAATGGGGATTGCTTGTCGTGAAGTGTCAGTGGTCCGGAATAGCAACATTACGACTGGGGTAAACTATAGTAACTTTTACTTGAGTTTCATTAATTTCAAACAGACTTGATACGTTATATGTTCCTCAAGAAAATTATCTTTTGGTTGATGTTGACTCTGTTCTTGCACTGGAGAAAACATGCAGCGCTTTTCGCGGTGAAGATTTAGAGACAGTTACATGTAAGCCTATTCGAAACACTTTGCGATTTGCAAGGCTTCGCTGAGAGAGCGAAACAGAAGACGGTAATTGCCGTTTGAAACGAAACGATCTGGACTCTGAACGCTCTCCTTTTTTGTAGAGTTCTTTACCAAATGAAATAACTGAAATAAATTTCGTACTTTCCGCCGCCAACAAGAATTGCACACACGATCTGATAAGTGAGACAATTTATTTATAACAATGGCGACAGCGAAGCACACATTAATGCTAATGTGGTGTTTCTTTCATTCAGGAAATGTTAATACTAACAACGTAATTATGGCTAGCTTTGATGTAACCTCCTTATTCACTAATATTCCTTTAGACGAGACGATTGGTATAATTTCCGGTCAATTATACTCAACTCAAACTTTTTATCACCGCTTTAGTAAAACGGAATTTGTTCAATTACTCAATTTAGCGGTTAAAAATTGTCATTTCATTTTTGATGGAAAATACTATGATCAAATTGATGGCGTAGCTATGGGTAGTCCTCTTGGTCCGCTTTTCGCAAACATTTTTTGTCCTTTCATGAGAAAGAATGCCTTGATAATTGTCCTGATAGCTTTAAACCTATTTTTTCCACTGCTATGTTGATGACTCGTTTGTAATGTTTAACTCACGTGATCATATTGTTCCTTTCCTTGATTACCTTAACTCGAAACATCCCAACATTAAATTTACTTTTGAAATTGAAAATGATGATAAAACTTTGCCTTTTCTGGATATCAGTATTAAACGTGTTAATGGGAATTTTGAAACTTCTGTTTATCGAAAACCAACCTTTAATGGTCTTTTTACAAATTTTGAAAGTTTTTTACCGACTGCTTGTGTAACTATATGAGTGCGTAATATATTTGTATTATATTTTTTGAATGCGCTGGTCGAATGTGTAAATTAAGGCAAATAGAAAGCCAAGCAGGATAGTCCATGCAATTAAACAACGACATATTCGATCGCGTATGTATCGATGACATTCAACTTGCTTTCAATATTCAACAAATATATTCAAATTGTATACGCAGCCTGTAAAGTGTAAACCAAAGCCTTTGATGTATGCTGTCCTTGAACAAGAACTATTCTTGTGTTAAGTGTTCTTCGGTACTGTCTGTATTTCGTCCTGTGAAGTATTTTGTTTCGTAAACATAGGATAAGACCTTGTACTGTTCAGTGTGTGCGAATTATTTTTGCGGACACATTAAAATTCTTTGTAACTTCATGTGACTTAGATCTGTTTTGCTTATAAATTATTGGAAAATGCACGTAACAGTCGTTTACGTATTTTTGTCGTATCTGATGTTTTGTTTGTGATTAAATGTGTGTATAATATTTCAACTGTGTCCAATTTACGTAATACTTTCTTTCAGTAAATTCAGAATTTGACAATAGCGATTAGCAAAAAACAATGCAGGCTACCCACATGTATGCAGCGCGTACCTATTTTTCTGTGTTGGTGTAGTGTACTCAGGTCAATATTAATGCTTGTGATGTTACTCTGAGTGCATATCCACACCGGGCAAGCTTGAAAAATATGCCTGGCCTGTCCCAGCAGATTTGGACCCCCCTCAAAATGGACCCCCCGGTCCAAATCCGCTTGCGAATATGGACCGGGGAGTCCATATCCGCTAGCGGGTATGGACCTATGGGGGTCTTTATCCGCTAGCGGATTTGGACTCCTCTCGCGAATTTGGACCCCTCGCGTATTTTATCATTGCAACGTATTGTATTTTGAAGATTGTACTGAAAGCGTTTTAAATCGTCATAAAGTTTATGATTTATAATTTTTCTGCTACATGGATTTGTTCTACGATCTTGGAATGTGCCAGAACTGAGACTAGCGCATGAAGCCTTCACAAGTATTTTACTCCTTGGAATTGCTATCTGCTCTGACTCTTAACTGCTCAAATAAAAACGGAAAATGAAAATATATTTCAAATTATTTTTACCTTGACATACCCATAACAAAGTGATCATTCCATTCAACCCTAAACTTTTATAAAATTAGCATCTCAATAACTTGTTTTCGTCATTAAGCAAATTCCAAGATAGTTGAGTCATGCCATTAGTTATCATAATTTCAAATTTCATAATTCAAAATTTCTTCTTTTTGTGAATTTTAGGGGGTCCAATTCCGCGGAAGGGGGTACATATCAGCTAGCGGATATGTACCGTAGGGGTCCGAATCCGCTAGCTGATATGGACTGGGGGGTCCATATCCGCGGGGAGTCCAAATCCGCTGTGACACCGGTATGGATATGCACTCAGAGTAACATCACAAGCATAGCTAACACGTCGATAGCATATAATCTACTTCGTAGATTCAAAAAGAGAAAGCAAGTTGATTATAATAATGATCATCAAGTCCGCATCATATGAAAACAACTTTAATAGTATATCCTGAGTTATCTTTGTGCTTGGGGAAATTGATAAAACACTGCAACACTCCGACATTTAAATTGTAGATGCCTTCAGATATCCTGGAAGAATACAGGAAAACTTCTAGAAATCTTGCCAAAACATCCAGCAACTTACGAAACCTCAAATACGGCGACGGCACGCGAATCTATTCAGACGAATGCATTTCACAGATAGAAGAGATCGAATGTTCTCCATTCTACTGCTCAGCAAATGAAAAACAGTTGCTAACAAAACACGACCAAGGAGACTGCAACAGCATTATTAGCCGATGGTAAGTATAGGTTATACTTATACTACGGGACGAATTTAAAGTTTGCGGTTTGCCGCCATTACATGCTGATGCGTTCGAAGTAATTTTTTCCGTATAAGTTTTTGACGCCTCTGAGACAATTCCTTTCTTCCGTCTCAAATCAGTTCAATGATTTGCCTAAATGGCAGACAGTTAATCAGAACAAGAGATGGTTGTTTGCGTATATGTCATGCACTATTAAAACATTCAAATACCCTAGCCCTATAGGCCTGAGTTAAAGTAAGTGGCGTAGCCAGCCCGACGATTTGGTCCCGCTATGCAAATTTCAACTCATCTTTCATCATTCATTTCTTTAGAAATTAATTGTGTTGTATATATACATAGTTTATAAACATGGCAATATTTGCACAGCTGGACTGAATCGTCGGGCTGGCTACGTTTGTAGTTGAAGAGTGCAGACAGCACGGCTATCAGCTCATATTCGACTCGAGTTCGTAGAATAACTGTTAAATAATGACCACAATTTAAGAGATGATATATTGCTAACTTTTTGTATGTTCCGTATCATCTAGTTCCGAGTATACGTTTTAATCAGTTAATAAAATTAGATGAAAAATAGTTACCCTTTGCGTACGGACGTAGGAGAAAACTTCTCTCGTTCATAGCGAACAAGAAACGGGTATATAGTTGGTAACCGATTATTATCCGTATCGTTCAGTGTGCATTAAAAATACTAGGAGAGGGAATGCAAATTTAACACTACTCTACGTAAGATTTTGACTTTTCGTTTTAGTATTGACGAAATAATAAAAAAAGTCGCGGACGGACCGGTCAAGAGTGTGATAGAAAAACTGAAAAGTGTATTGCAATCTATCTGCAACAACTACCCGAAAACCTCTGCCCAGTTACAGCCAGAACCTCCAACTGTAACTTCCTCTGGAAACTGTCATTTTGGTCAACCCATTCTGTTGGCAGTCATGATTTATTTCTTTATCAAGATCTATGTGTGAACAAGAATTCAGGGGCGCCCGATGCAACGTGAAGCGGCAGGGGGGGAGGGGCTGTCATTAAGAAAATGGCTTGCTTACTTGTAGCCAATGTAGTTGGACAATTTCGACATTGATTGCAACATTTGCATCTTTATTCATTGTAAAATGCATTGTCAAACAATATGACAGTTTGTTAGTTGTTTAGGAAAGGCTTTCTTTTTTAATTTTTTTCACGTTGGTAAAGTTTCTAAAAGGAATTTTATATTCAGCTTTGAGCTAAATTTCTTGAAAACACTTCTCAATTTCAGTTCATGTGAATAACGCACGAATTTCGAAGTGTAGTTTTTGTGAAAAGGCAATCTATTGCCCCCGCGATGCCCCGCGCACTGCTTGGACAATGGGGCAGCTGTCTTCGTGGCTTCGGGGCCCCTGATCTTGTTAGTAATTATTTGTATTGGTTTATATTAATCTGTTTATTGTGTTAGTAATGACAGCTAGTTAATTAATTAAATTATAGCTTATTAACATTAACTTGGTATATATATATACAAGGCTTATATTGTTTTAATTTTTCCTTATTACTAATACTCAGTTTTTAAAGTTATATGTGTTTAATGTTTAATTTATACATTCTGTAATTCACATTGTTTCTGTTTGATAAAAATCAAGTTCATTAAATTCCATATAAATAGATCTAGAGCTGTCAGTATAGCTTGTATATATGCATCCCGACTTACTAGTAATATTAACTATTAATATATAGTAGAGAGTGAGATACTGAAAAATACACAGTGAGATATTTTCCATATTTTCACTAGTGAAGAAATCGATCACGTGACTTTTTCCAATTCGCTTTTGAGCGTGAAATTACACGGTGGCTTGAAGATATCTTCTCGTGCTAAAAACAATGTTTTACTCACTCGCTGCGCTCGTTCGTAAAATATTGTTTTCACCACTCGAAGATAAAAGTCATATCTTCGCGCCGTCGTGTAATATCCTCTATAATATATTATCTTTTACCAGCAGACAATCTCGCAAAATTTAAGATGTGAAACACACTCCGAGCATGTAATATTTTAGTTTTAGGCGTAGTATTTATAAACAGTTTTTAGATGATCAAAAATGTGCAAATATAGGTTGCAGCGTTAGGGTCGTGTTTTAATAATTTTAACTTTAAATAGGGACTGTGTTCTAATATCTTAAATTTTGTAAATTTTGAGGGCCACAAGTTTATCAGTTTCTTACTGTCACGTGTTTACCCTCAGTAAATAAAGCCTTTCACTTCACTTCACAATATCATAGTTGCCTCGAAATCCTTTGTCCCGCGAGGTACGATTAATCACTAATTTACCTCATACTAAAACATGGAGTAAAATTAGAACTAATTTTACCACGGGCAAAATAGAGCTAATTTTGCCCGTGGTAAAATTAGTTCTAATTTTACCTCATATTTTATGTATACCCTCTACCACTTAATATCTTCATGATCAATTAACTCACGATATCGATATGTGACTGGCTCCTTTCGTAATCTATACATGCATTTACCAATACACTATCCTCTTCGCTTATATTTATAGAATCATTTCTCACAGTCGTATAAACCGTCCTATTCTCTCGGCAACTATGATATTACAAAGTAATAGCATGGCATTACTGTCGATTAGTGATGAAATGTCCCTCAAGCCTCGAGAGGTTTAGTAAAAGTCCCGAGACTTTTACTAAACCTCTCTCGGCTTTCGGGTACATTTAATCACTAATCGCCCTGACCCTGAATGCCATGCTATTACTTATAATAATACATATCTTGTAAACTCAAGATCAGTTGAGCAATTTAACCTTGAGTTTTGTTATCTTGTGTTAAATAGCTCAAATCTTACAAGATATGTATTACATGTTATAATTATACGTGATTTGGAGTGTGTTTCATTTTATTTTTCGAATCGTGTTTATATGGCCGGGTATAAAAACACGAATTTTGCACAGTAATTGTAAGTTTTCTTAAATTTTAAGCCTGTGGATGGAAGACTAAGGAATTTAAGAGATTGGCCTCTACCTTAGGCTTAGTATACGAACATTTATAAGGGGACATTCACAAAATACGTGACGCTCA